GCAAGACACAGCTTCAACACGAGAACCTATGCACTAGACACTATCAAGTTTTGCATTGGGAGAGAATATTGTCAATATGATTGGTAGAGAAAAGAGATGATGTATTTATTAGTGGCCCACTTTAAGATACCATGGGTTGTAGAGTGTAGTTTATATTATGATGTCTTATTGAGATGACATCATAGACACTACTTATAGACACTATAGGTTGGGACTGCTCTTAAAGCTGCGTTTCTTGGAGTTTTGGTTTAGATTTTTAGCAGCACGGGGAACTAGAAGGTTATTAGTACCATATTGTTGTTTGACTATTAATTATTATTATAAAATTAAAAATGGATTATTTAGCTAAATTATTTTACAATTCTGTATCGATTTTTTTCTTTACAAAATATACTTTGCGCAGTTCAAGAAGCTTACTAACACAAAATGAGAAAATAGCCTAGCTAGCCAAGAAGTCGTTTTGGGGGTGTTTGATTTTAGCCACACTTTATCATACCACACTTTTGGCTACCGTAGACATATGTTTAGTTCACCACCACAAATGACTCGCCACACTTTTCAATAGCATGTTCTTTATGTCATAGACTCAACTTTCTTATCAACTTTATACACTTTTATGACTAGCAATTTATTCACCACAATTTTATGTCAGTCACAACTTACAACTTACGTAATTGTGGCAAAAAAATATGGTTGGTAGTCAAACGTACCCTTAGAACGATAAGACAATCATCCTAATATAACGGGAATATAAACTATAAATTGATTGCTTGTACTATGAGAAACCACAACAAAAAATACATATATGTTACCTTTTTAGGCATGTTAAATTTGTAGTCCAGAATTAACTTTACTAAAATATTGACATTTTTTTAAGTACTCCACGTGTTCGATTTGTAGCATAATCAATTTTTTGTAGGGCTTTTACGAGAGAAAACATTGGAAAGTCCCAAATCCTGCTAGGATAGCAATGATAAGTGTATTTTTGGTTCATTACTTTACTGAAAATTGATAATACTATAATTAAATTTTGGTAAAGTTGAAAATAGCAACCAATTGCTATTTACACATGTAATTACATGCTATTTACATTGCAATTATACTCTAACTATATCATTGTTACATTTGAAATATTTTTGAGGGAAATTTCTATCGGATGTTGGATAGGTAGTAGTCCCATTAAACAAGCCCATTGGATCTTTTACCGCATTCCCAGATCCACGAACCCGGAAGGAAGCTATCCCAGATCTAGTATTCCGAAAGCGACCACCGAATTTGTTTTCCCTTTAAAACCCCCCAATGAATTTCCTAATCCCCCTTTTCGCTTTATTTATTCTCTTCCAACCAACAAAAATACTCGGCGAAATATTTTCCGCGGCGCCGCGCGTACCGTTCGTCCGTCGTCGGTGGAGTGGAGGCTGCCGAACTGTAAAGCTCACGGGTTGGGCGAATCTCCACTCCTCACTCGCCCCCCACTGAAATCGCCAAAAACCCAACTGAAAAACCCCCCCACCGGAATCCTCACGCACACACCTCGCCGCGGAAGCTGTGGCGTCCGCGTAGGAGCAGCTGTTTCTTTTTTGGATCCAATCCAATCGGTGAGAGCAATTCTCTCTCTCTCTCTTGCTTGCTTATAGCGTCCTGGTTAAAAGGATGGGGGGGTTCTTGATGTTCTTTGGCAAGATCCGGTGAGGCCGCTGCTTTGCTTCTGTGAGGCATTCGTGGTGGCATTTTCTGTCCGGGCTTTGGGTTGATCTGTTTCGCTGGTGAGAAGCGCTTTTAACTTTGCCTTAGGATTTTGCTGGGAGAGCTTTTCTTCTGCTTGATTCTTTGCTGCCAGCAGTTAAATCCAAATCTTTCTTTCTTTTGCTGCGTTATATAGATAGAGTATATAGTATGCTGGTAAATATGGCAGTTCATGCTCAAAGTTTTCCCCATTGTCCACTTTGGGGTCAGCTACTAGGTCTAAATCGCCTTGGATTTAGCTGAATTGTTTGTATAGATTTGCATTGCATTCACCCTCATGGTTAGTAAAAAGAGTGAAAAGAAAAAAACTGATTTCTTGACTGTACAATTCCTCAGGATAAGCAGCCATGGCTGTGAAGGCGAGTTCTGCAGATAACAGGACCAGAAGCACCGTGTCACTATGCATAGTGATTGGCATGTGCTGCTTCTTCTACATCCTTGGGGCATGGCAGAAGAGCGGATTTGGAAAGGGGGACAGCATTGCGCTGGAGATCACGAAGCGAACGGACTGCACAATCTTGCCTAACCTTAGCTTCGACACGCACCTCGCTAAGCAGGCAAGGCCTCGCGATCTCGTTTCGCCGGCGAAGAAGTTTAAGCCGTGCCCGGATCGCTACACGGATTATACCCCTTGCCAAGATCAGAACAGAGCGATGAAGTTCCCTCGGGAGAATATGAATTACAGGGAGCGGCATTGCCCACCGCAGAAAGAGAAGCTGCACTGCCTGATACCGCCACCTAAGGGATATGTTGCTCCATTCCCATGGCCGAAAAGTCGGGACTATGTTCCTTTCGCGAATTGTCCCTATAAGAGCTTGACAGTCGAGAAAGCGATCCAGAATTGGGTTCAGTTCGAAGGCAACGTCTTCAGATTCCCTGGTGGAGGAACACAATTCCCTCAAGGAGCTGATAAGTACATCGATCAACTTGCATCAGTTGTTCCAATCGCCAATGGAACTGTCAGGACTGCATTGGACACTGGCTGTGGGGTAAGGGCTTATTGTTACTTTGAACCTTTTTTTAAGTAGCAGGGTCTAGATCATGTCTGAAGGTGCTGGAACTATTTCAGGTGGCTAGTTGGGGAGCTTACTTATTAAAGAGAAATGTCTTGGCGATGTCATTTGCGCCAAGAGATTCACACGAGGCACAAGTGCAGTTTGCTCTGGAGAGGGGTGTCCCAGCTGTTATCGGTGTTCTTGGGACGATAAAACTCCCTTACCCATCAAGAGCCTTTGACATGGCCCATTGTTCCAGGTGTTTGATTCCATGGGGAGCAAATGGTGAGTCTGTAACTATGTATAGCATTTCAGTCTCTCGTATTCTGCATCAAAGCTAAATTTTTCTGGAGAAATCCATTTACAATGTTGCTTATGTAACATTCTCATTCAGTTCTTTTCGGAAGTCATAATTATTTTGTCATTTTGCAGGTGGAATATACATGATGGAAGTTGATAGGGTTCTAAGACCTGGTGGATACTGGGTGCTTTCAGGGCCTCCGATTAATTGGAAAGTGAACTACAAGGGTTGGCAGCGTACAAAGAAAGATCTTGAGGCGGAGCAGAATAAAATAGAGGAAATTGCTGACCTTCTTTGTTGGGAAAAAGTCAAAGAGATTGGTGAGATGGCAATATGGAGGAAAAGATTAAACACTGAGTCTTGTCCCTCTAGGCAAGATGAATCAAGTGTGCAGATGTGTGACTCAACAAATGCAGATGATGTCTGGTATGTCTTTTTTGTGATTTTGTTAAACAACCTTTAGAACAGAATTGCTAATATTTGCTGAAGATCCTTCAACTGGATACCGAGGGTGATTTATGATAGTATAACATTTGTAGAATTACGTCCACTAATAGATTACAAACATACTGATCTGGTTCAAACATTGTATAATCTCTTTCTCATCCTATTTTTTTTTCTTACCACTGTAATACTAGGTACAAGAAGATGAAGCCTTGTGTGACACCTATTCCTGATGTAAATGATCCAAGTGAAGTTGCTGGAGGTGCAATCAAGCCCTTCCCAAGCAGGCTCAATGCAGTTCCTCCAAGGATTGCTAATGGCCTGATTCCAGGTGTTTCATCTCAGGCCTACCAGAAAGACATCAAAATGTGGAAGAAGCATGTCAAGGCTTATAGCAGTGTGAACAAGTACCTCCTCACTGGAAGATACAGAAACATTATGGACATGAATGCAGGTTTTGGAGGATTTGCTGCTGCCATTGAGTCCCCAAAATCTTGGGTGATGAATGCCGTGCCTACGATTTCAAAGATGTCAACTCTAGGGGCTATTTACGAGCGAGGATTGATTGGCATATACCACGACTGGTATGTCTTTTATTTGCTTGCATTGCACATCCTTTCAATATGAGCGTGAAATTAACCATTTGTGACAACTATATGCCAGGTGCGAAGCTTTCTCTACTTACCCAAGAACGTATGATCTTATCCACGCTAGTGGCCTTTTCACCCTGTACAAAAACAAGTAAGATCCTCAAGCTTTATGACATCTGTTTGACGGCTCGAATTACCTACGATGACTCATTTTCTCTGGTTAAAAACCGACATCAGGTGCAACATGGAAGACATCCTACTGGAGATGGACCGCGTCCTGAGGCCAGAAGGCGCCGTCATAATGAGGGACGATGTCGATATCCTGACGAAGGTGAACAGGCTCGCCCTCGGCATGAAATGGAACACGAGGCTGGTCGATCACGAGGACGGCCCCATGGTGCGTGAGAAGGTGCTGTATGCTGTGAAGCAGTACTGGGTAGGCGGAAACCAGACTGCAGCAGCTGCAGCATGAAGCAGGCGTAAATCCTAACACAAAAGATGGAAGAACTCTGCAATCCATCCTGAACTGACTTCCAGGAAAGGTAAGATACGGGAGTCATTTAGTGAGAGGCCAGGTGATCTTGTCGGAGTGGCGATGAAGAAGCAACCCGGGCTTTCTTGGTTGCTCTGATGATCGGCTGGCGTATATTGTTGTAACAATTTTGTAATTTCATTTGTCACTCTCTAGTGTTAACTGGTTACGATGCTTAATTCAAGGTTTGCTTGTCAGTTGTCACGGTGATTTCTTGGTTTCGCGTCTTCTGTAAGCCGCTATGTAATCAGTTTGCCTACAGAAGAGAAGAGAACGTCCAGGTTAAGAGTAGTCTGCTTATAGTAGCATTGTTGCAGCAGCCAGCAAGATAGATGAAAGATTTTGCTTCAGAATTAATAAAACGTCTCATAGGTGAAATCACGCAGCCGATCTCGAAGAAAAAGGAATCTTTTCAGCATTGAGATACACAAAAATATTGGTGCTGAAAATAAACTACCAGAGTTACTTGTCATCGCGTTACAACATTATTTATTGATCACCTTTGTGGTAACATGAGCTGTTACTAGTCTCATGATTAGCAAAAATAATGCTAAATTAACTCCAATAAAAGAAGTGAGGTAAATGCCAAATAGTACAAGGTCAGTGGAAGTCCGGTTGGCCAGTGGAAGTGAGGCAGCGGTGCCACATCCTGCTGTTGGGGTTCACGCGCTTTGGTTTTGTGATGACTTCTGTGATCGGGAGGAAAGCGTAGTGCGTGTTGCAAATACCAGATGTGATACCACTGAACCCGGCAAAGGCTCCATGAACCTACAGAAAACCATTCGATTTTCAAACACTCAAAATTCAAAAAGATCGATAAATGATATTCATACATCTGTGAAGGATATAGAAGGACAAACAGGAAAAACGCGAACTCACAGCATTTTGTCCAAGTACAGTGCACAAGATAGCATCAGATGCATTCGCACGACAGGCCCGGACCATATATGTCGGATCAATGTATTTTACATCAGCTGGAACACCGATGTCCTTGAAATGACTCTTAATCTGGAATTCGATATCAGTGTCATTTATTCAGAAATACTAAGTAAGCTCACAAAAGAACATCATAAAGAATAGAGCAATAGCAATGTAGGAGCAGAATACAGAGGAAACTTTGTACCCAAGACAGTATTTAACGATTAAGCTCACAGCACTAGCATAGTAGTGTACACGAAATGAATGTAGATAAATCCACAAAAGAAAGAAAGGGGGAAATTGGCACATCGCTCTGCCAGTTAAAAATAGGTGACTTTTGTTATGTGCCTTCAAACCAACAAAATTTTGCAGTTAGCGAGTGCTTGGTTGGTTGGTCCAGCAGGAATTTGTAACAGATGAAATAGCGGATATTGTTCATAGGGTTTAATTAAATATTATTATATAATATAAATCTAACCCATAGCTTGTAAAAAGTAATCTAAGCAATGTTGATGAAGAAAGTTATTGGAGAAATAATATTTTTGGAAGCATGGCATGAATAATTTGCTCGATAATCCATAATCTGGTTTTAGCTAACCAAATGACTGGTTACCAGATGATTTCAAACACTTATGTTCTTCGCCAATTTCAAGATATGCCGGCCCAGTCTTCCGGAGGTGCTCATAGGGCTAAGGTGTGCGTGTGCGTTAATAGGGGTGAGTGTATGCGCGTTGTGAGCGCCTGCGTTTGTATTGTGTTTCTAAAAATAATAATAATAATAATAGAAGATGCTAAATGCAAAATCTGTTTGCCCGAGGGGGTTTAAGATGAAAACATACCTTCTGTTGCATGTGGACACCAAAGTCACTAAGTATTACATTTCCTGATGCATCAGTTGCATTTGATTTTTGCAGTAAATCCTGCAAGAACAAATCCAAGAATCCAATCAAATTTCCATCCATTTAATTCAATGAGTTGTATGAGTATTTGTAGCACTCATCTGTGCAAAACCCTAAGACACCACGCACTGCCTATTACCTGCCCTGCACCTTCAGCAACACAAACCACGCAAAATCCCTTTTTTTCCAGTAAATGTTCAAGGTGTCGCATGACACCATGTTCTCCATCTAGTGTAAAAGATACCTGCATTCAGATAGTACGCTTCTGTCAGTAGATGGGAAGCCAAAAAAAAGGGGAAAAAAAGAAGCTCTGTCAGCATAGTGTTTACACACCTCGGGTATTAGGCAGACATCAATCTGTCCACTGGAAAGAGAAGCTTGCATGGCAATGAACCCACTACTTCTTCCCATTAATTTGACCAACCCAATTCCATGATATGCACTTCGTGCCTGAAAACCGAAGGAAGAATCCTCTTCATTGAAGTTTCCATGCTAAAAAAACATGCTAAGAGGTGAGAAATGCCACTGCACCTCTATGTAGGCAGAATTGATGGCACGCTGAGCTTCTTCTACAGCCGTGTCAAAACCAAAAGTCTTATCCATGAATAGTATATCATTATCAATTGTCTTTGGAACTGCTACAACTGACACTTTCAGTTTTCTCTTACGACACTGCAAACCAGAAAAACACATGAGCATAAACTAGCATGAACAATCATATTGCATGAAACATAAAGGTGTGTTTTGAGTCCAGAAGATCTTTTGGACGAGAGATATTTAATCTGACCTTCCTAGTTCTTAGACAAAATAATGCACAAGATGCAAGTTTTTTAGTTCTGGTAAATGTTTATCATAAAAAATTACATTAATTGGATATTTGGGACCAAGAACTCTTTATTAGAGAATAGATAATATTATGTCTTTAGCTCCCTCGGTACCTGCATTTTTAGTGCCAAATTGGGGGTGGGGGTTTATAATTCCGGTACGCCCTATCCAGGTGTACAGTCAGGTTAAATATGGGTCTAACTAGGTTTTACTCAGAATTGCCCCTTTACTCAAAGTGGTGAATGAATCCAAAGAGGCGCAAAGTTTTCTATTACTATAAGTGCCTGGACGCATAAATAACAAATAACAAATAAGATGCAATGTAGAAATATCAACCTCCTCATGGATAGCATTAGCTCCTGCATGGCTACCGTTTCCACCAATTACAAAAAGCATATCAATTCTTCTGGCCTACAAGCATAAGTTGATCAGGTTAAACAATACCAGCTACAAAAGCAGCAAGCCAGCAAGACTAACATCAAAGGCTTTCATTTCAGATCACTTACTTGTATACTATCGACGATCTCACTAGTTTTAGCTCCTCCACGAGACACACCTAGGAAACTTCCACCAGAAAGATTTATGTTTTCCACCACTTTACGTGAAAGCTGAAGGTTGTCATCAAATTGTAACTCCACAATTGAATCAAGCACCCTAGAGCATCTGAGGATATGGAAAAGCATACTTACAGGCATTTCTTTTAAGCCTTTCTCAAAAAATCCACGATAACCAAACTGAATTCCAACAATGTTCTTAACCCCATAGATCTCCAATGTAAATACTATCTGAAAATATAGGAAAGCTTGGTTATTCAACAGGCAAAATGATGGCCAGAATTTACTGAATATCTGTCAACATTAAATAAAAGCATGTAATGAACTCCACCTGCAAAGGTCTTCGAAGCAGGGAGTTCTGCTTCGGGATAATGAAATATCCTAAAGTATAGCTTTGAAGTTATAATGTTATATAAGGTTTATTCAGAAATTAGCTGCCACCAGCACCAAAGAATGTCCACAAGATTGATACATAAGCATTACAATAAGATCCAATAGATTATAATCTGCCTCTGCGTTTTGTGGCATCTGATTAAATATTCATTAAATAACTCGTACATGTTCCTTCTCAACAAATGAATGCCATGATATTTTTAGAGTTTCAACACAACAGCGCAGTTTTGAAGACACAAGATGGCTTGAACAACCATATTACCTGTCTAATGACATCATTTAAACCAGGGCAGAGGCCTCCACAGGTAACAATAGCAGCTTTTACTTCTGCAGGCTCATAGTATATCTCCTTACGAGGCCCTGCACGATGAATCCTATTGAAAGAAATTATGATTGCTCTACCCTTTGTGGCTTTGTCCATTCTTAAGTATAAAAACGTTTGAAATATGAGAACGTAAACATTATCAAGTGTTTATTTACTGGTCATACTCATATAAGCTAACGTTTCACCAAGCATCTTAGGGAAAACAACTTTCATAATAAAAAAGCGCAAATTAACTAATGTGCTGCATCAGAACATACCAATGTTCAACCCAACTGCAGTCAGGATCTACGCACTCAGCTCCAGCAGAAGTAGGGGAGGCATACTTTATCACCTGAAGAAACAAAATATGTTAAGTGCAAAATTTAGCTACAAAAAGAAGATTGTTTACTTGAATATTTACAGTTCTACTGAAGCATCTACTGATATGTGTTTGTATTATTGGTTCTATCTATAGTAATGTTCTGCGCTATGAAGCCTAGAAATTAACAGGAACAATTAATCCACCATGAAGCCAGCATATTGAATTCCAATATGTTGCCTTCAAGATTATCTGGTTATGCCTGCCAAGAAGTGATCAGGTGGCCAAATGAATAGCTAAAAGTTGGAGCAATGGTACAATGTACTGCCGCCTCCCTCCAAATAGGTCATTTATACAATAATTTGCACAAAGGTCTTGAGAGTGATTTTTTTACGTATGCATTTACAAATACTGAAAAATACTTTACATTATATGTGCTCAGCATTGACCTTCAGAAGTGCACGGTCATCCTTATTTACATAGCCATTCCACTTATCTGCTGATAAACTACCACCATCAGTCCTGTCATAGTAACAGATACTCTTTTTAAAATGAGGAACCTGTTACGGTTTCATCTCTTCAGAATAAGAACAAGTTCAAGAAGTATAGAGGTGAGCACGGATAAACCTGTTTTTCTTCAGAGAGAATGTAGTTAGCCTTGGCTTCAAATCATATATATCTGTAATATGCGGCAAACTGAAACGCCTATTCCAGTCTTCTTGATACTTTTCCTTCCAAGAAGGATCACTGAAATCTAAGTCTGATTTCCCAGAAACAGCTCTTACAGACAGTACCATAGGACTTCTCTTTCTTCCATTCAAGTGAGTGGAACCCAAACCATATTGACACCGGTACCTGGTTGAATGCAACCAGTGTTGCTGGGATGTAGAAGAGTGTGTGCTTGCTTTTAAAGCAATGTCCATCCCAGAAAAGGTCATATGTGGACCCACTAATCTGCATATATATTTGGATAAGCTGAATGATTCATCGCTATTTTGCAAAGCAATAAGGATCTTAAGAATTTCAAGAGTGGTAGAAAAGAGAGAGCTTGAAGAATCGACTAAAAACAAATCAAGAACGTCACTATGGTTGTTCACGTAGCTCAGTAACTGCAAGTGCTGATATCTTCAGATGCATTAGGCAGTTAGATGGTGAAACAACAATAATGGAGTGAATGAACAACGCGGAAATGATCACTAATCCAGTTATTACTGGCTACAACAGAGAGAATGTAAATCCACCATTACGTTACCGGGCAAAAAAGGAAATGGCTAAACACATTTATCTGATTGTATTACACGAACTCCATATATACTTCCAGTCCCTAAAACTTGAAGAGTCTCTAGACCTACAGAAACAACTGATCAACTGCCATCGATGTGGCAAACTGGCAAAGGGATCCACCTGCAATTCCAGACATCAGAACGTGCAAAGCACATAGAGGACTCGGAAGCAAAACTGATGCAAGGAGTCGCATTCAAGCACACACGTTCAGCTAATTAGCTAATGTGGCAGAAGGGCAAACAAGATACACAAACCACGCTGGATTTGGATACTGACATCAATGGAGGCACATCACACTTCCTCCAAATCGCCTCAATCCTCCATCGCTAGCATTTCCACTCTGAACCAACGCAACAACGAACCAAAACCCCAAACTGAACTCCAAAACCAACACCCCCTCATCCCCATCCCCCGATCAACCTGGTGCAGCAGGGCGCTGCTGAAACCAGACCGCTCACACGAGGATCGCCCAATCCAGCGCCGGAGCCGGAGCCGGGGGAGATGGCGCTCCACCCACCGGTTTCCCCTGAGACGACGACCGAGCAACCTACGAGGCAATGCTGCCAGATCTCCGGCGGGGGAGGGGCACATGCCAGAGGGGTGGAACTGAAACCATATTGACATTGGTACTTGGTTGAATGCAACCAGTGTTGCTGGAAGTAGAAGAGTTTGTGCTGCTTTAAAAGCAATGTCCATCTCAGATACGGCCATATAAAAAATTACAGCGGACCCACTAATTTGCATATAAATTCAAATAGGCCGAATGATTCATTACTACTTTAGCAAAGCAAAAAGGACCTTAAGAACTTGAAGAGAGATGGAAACACTGGAGCTTGCAGAATTGACTAAAAATAAATCAAGAGTGTCGCTATGGTTGTTCACTAGCCCAATAATTGCATGTGCTGATATCTTCAGGTGTGTTCGGCAGTTAGATGATGAAACAACAAAAACATAGTGAATGAACAATGCGTCAATGATCACTAATCCAGTTGTTACTGCCTACAACTGAGAGAATGTAAATCCACCATTACCGGGAAAAAAAGGAAATGGCTGGCCCTCTTTGTTTAGGCTTATAAGCCAAAAAATCTAAGCCTAAACAAACTAGCAGCTTTTTCGTTTAGCTTTTTTTAAGCCATAAGCCACTCTAACACTATTAAGCTAAAAGCTACGTTGGAGAAGGTTTTTTTCGGCTTATTTGAGGTAGAGGTATGATTCCACCATTAAACTTAGGACATTAAATCCACCGGCTTATAAATCATATAAGCCAATAAGCTGACTTAAAAGCTTAAGCCTAAACAAAGGGACCTACATCTGCCTGACTTGTATTACACGAGGAACTTGCAAGAGTCTCTACACCTACAGAACAACTGACCAACTGCCATCAATGTGGCAATGAGATCCAGCTGCAATTCCAGAGATCAGAACATGCAAGCAAGCTCATAGAGGACTCGGAAGCAAAACTGATGCAGGGAGTCGCATTCAAGCACACACGTTCAACTAAGCAGCTAACGCGGCAGAAGGGCAAACCAGACACACAAACCACGGAGGCAAATCACACTTCCTCCAAATCGCCCCAGATCCTCCATCGGTAGCATTTCCACTCTGCACCAATCAACCAAAGGCACCAACGAACCAAAAACCCCAAACCAACACCCCTCATCCCCATCCCCCGATCAACCCGGCGCAGCAGGAGCGCTGCTGAACCCAAACCGCTCACACGAGGATCGCCCTTATCCGGCGCCGGAGCCGGGGGAGATGGCGCTCCACCCACCCACCCACCCACCGGTTCCCCCCGACACGACGACCGAGCAGCCTACGAGGCAATGCGCGCCAGATCTTCGGGCGAGCCAAGCCGGGGATCCCGGCGGAGGAGCACGTGCCAGAGGGGTGGCAAACGGAGCCGGCGACGAGCATCTCACCTGGAGCTTGCGCCGGCGAGACGCGGCGGCGGATTGCGGCGGGGCTCCGAGCTTTGGGGAGAGAGAGACGCAAGTCGCGACGGCGCTTCGCTTCGTTGACGAGACGACGAACGAGCGCGGCGGAGAAACAGAGGAAAGCGGAGGAGGTGGAGGTGGGGCCCAGCCGTGAATCCAGGTGGCGGGAGTGGGTCCACCAACCAGGGGGGGTTGGTTTGTCAGTCACATGAGGGGCGGGAGAGAAAGAAAGAATGGGCCGTTTCTCAAGTTGAGTTGGGTCCAAGCAAAACTCATTGGCAAATTGGCCCAGGTAATTTTATTTTTTTTTTCCATTTTGAGATGAGGTTATCTCATTTTCTTCCGTGTTGTGTGTTGACGACTTGACGCGCGTGGGCTCCAGATGAAAACTTGTGGAGTTTAGTTGAATGAATCTCCTTGTTCCAGTTTACAGCTTTCATGTATTACTCCCTCTAGTATAATTACAATGCATGATTAAACTTGGCAAATGTCGTCATAACTAATCTTTAGCTTATATCTTCTTATATCTATAAGGTTTATAGCAACAAAATTGTAACTCTATATGAAAGAAAATTCAAATGCCAATCAAATGATATAATTTTTAGCGAACATAATTCAATCTATATTATACTAATTATCGGTTAAATGTTTTAAAGTTTAAATCTTAAAATACGTACACACCTTGTATTATGGGATAGAGGGGGTACCAAACCTTGGTCACTGAAAAGGAATAAAAGCTGTTCTTCGTCGATAAACACAGTTACCGTTCAACTACTCAGCAAAACCGATGAAACCTTAGATAAATTTGAACTTTAGTTTGAGTATCTTTGACTTGTATGGTTAACTCAACGCTAGCCAGTTCGAATATAGAAATAGGAAGTATGGACAACTAAAACGAGAAAGCCATTAGTATATAATTAATGAAGTTCTAATTATTCTAAATTTGAAAAATAAATTTATCAAATACTTTAAAGCAAATTATTTTATATAAGAAATGAACCATTTAGACTTTCTATATTATTTTATATAGAAAGTTTGAAGACCGTGCTACTGAAAACCCAAATAAAAAAATATATATGGATGTATATCTATATTATAAAAATTGATAATGTTTTACCGGAATTTTAGTACGTCATCCATAACTAATTCGGTTTTTAGTTGGTTTTTTATAATCCATATGATCTATATATACCTAATCTATAACTAATATAAATATTCGTATTTTTCCGATCGTAACCTCATAGGTGCGGTGATTTTTTCGTCTCCCTCGTCTCCCCCAAATCCCAGTCGGAATTCCATCACCCCCACCCAAAAAAAACTCCCAATCGGAATTCAATCAATCACACAAATAAAATAAAATCGGAGGAAGCATTATACATACAAATATATTAAAAAAAATCAAAGGGGAGGTCGCCGTTGAGCCGCCGCCGCAGCTCCCCTCCTGCTGGATCCGGCGGAGGGGAGGGGCGCCGCCGCCGCTGGGACACCGGCGGGCCGCCGACGCCTCCTCGGGCGCCGCCGGTGGTGGGGGAGAACGCCGCCGCGCTGCCGGTGGTAGGGGAGGACGCGGCCACGCCGCCAGTGGTGGGGGAGACGCCATCGCTGCTCGCGGGGGGAGGGCGCCACCGCCGCCGCTTCTGCTGGGGGGCGCCCCCGCTGCCGCTGCTCGGGGGGAGGGCGCCACCGCCGCCGCCGCTCGGGGGCGCGGAGGGGAGGGCGGCGAAGTGAGATGGGAGGGAGGGAAATGAGCTAGGGTTTCGGCGGCTGAGGAGAGGGAGGGGGTTTTGTTTCCCCGATATCGACGCTCGGTCGTCCAATCAAAACCCTAGAGATCGGACGATCGGTGTCGTCCGGGCCAAAATCGGCCCAAGAGGGATCAAGAGTGAGGCCACTTTTCCGGCCCAAGCCCAGGTTGCGGCTTGGGAAGGGGAAGTGAGCCCGCGCGTGCACAAAAGGCCATGGGCCGACCGGCAAGGGCCGGAAATAAGTCTATTTTTGGTCCCTCGGGCCGAAAAAAAAAGAGAATAAGTTCATTTTTAGTGCTTATTTTTTCAGAAAATTACAATTATAGTTATTGAATGTGTTTATTTCGAAGCAAACCTAAAAGGAAGTATTTTCTTTCTTTTTCTAATTAAATAATTGTTAAATGATGTTTGTATTAATAAAATTAGCAATTAAGCTCTGAAAATTCCTATATAATTTCAAAGAGCGTAACTAATCATGGAGAATTTTAAAAAATAAATTTAACCATGTTATTTTATTTCTCACACTTGCTTTACTTGTAAATTTATTTAATTATACGCATACCTACTTAAAAACACCAAATATTTTAGCAAATTTGTATTTTAATTAATTACATATTTTTCTGATCTGTACGCTTCCCGTTGTAACATACGGGCACTTTTGCTAAACCAAACAAAACTTTTGGTCAATATACACACTCCGTAATCATCCGGTGCAACTCACGGTCATATTACTTCTGCTATTCTTTTGTCCATCTCCCTTTTTTTTTCCGTCTCGTTTTTTTCGCTAGTTTCCCGATCAGGCTTCGTCCGGTTTTTCTCATCGCCGTGTTTTAGTTGGTTTTTTTTATCGTTGTATTTTTTCTGTCCGTCCTTTTTTTAGGAGCAATGCTACACGTACTAAAATTTTCTTACTAAACTTTTACTAACAATCATCTCAAACGTTTGATTTAAGTAGATGGAAGTTACAAAAAATCTAGATGCACTCATAGCATGACACATCAGTGTTAGTAAGAATTTAGTAAGAAAAAGTTAGTATGTATAGCCTTTTCCTTTTTTTAGTCCGTCTGTTTTTTTATCACATTTTTTTTACGAACCTGGCGCTGTCATCGATCAGTTTCACTGTAAGTTTTCTCCTCCAGTTAATTGGAGAAATCGATTCCACACTTCTCTCTTATTTGTCTCCTCCAATTAATTACAAAAAATTTCTCATTTTTTTCCTTGCAATTTCACTTTCAATTGGACTTTAATTCACCGGATTTAATATCAGTCGCCGATGACAGCCGACAGGTCACCTTCCCCAACCATTTTTATCCCGAGTTTTATGGATTTACTTTGATTTTGAGGAAAAAAAAACAGAAAAGGGGATCGAGCGGATAAAAAAACCCTCACCTTCCCCAACCGTCCCGATTTTTATGGACATAAAAAGGGATCGAGCAGATAAAAAACCCACAGCAAATTTTGAGAGATAAAAAGGGCTATGCGAGGTGGTTCTGTGGTCCACTTGGCTAGGCCAAAGAGAATAATACAATTTCTTAATAGTTGTTATTTTACCAGTTGCAACTTGCAACGCACGGGCATAGTGTTAATCAGAAAAAAAAGGACCTAACATCACTCAATAACTCCCGTCTAAACGGTAGACTGAGCAGTGCCACTGCCAGTACGTCGCCGCGGACTTCACCGGTCATCATCAAGTACGTCGGCGCGGACTTCACCGGTCATTATCAAGTACGTCGCCGATCACAGCTAGCTCGCGCGCGACGACCAGCTCAATCTCCTCGTCGTCGTCGGAGCCGTGTCCCGTACTCCCGGCCGCTGTTACCATCGGCAATTCTCTCCCCGAGGCATGAGGCGCAGGGTTTACGATTCCGACGAAATCCGGTTGGATTTCGCGAAATTTCAACGTTCCGACGAGGCTCGAAAGTAGAAACCGTTTGAGATTTTGAGAAGTTTCATCTAAATTTAAATTGATAAAAAAGAAAAAATAAAATAAAATCTTATAAATACTATGGTATTCATAGAACTTATTCGGATATAAATTTTTGAAAAAAAATGATGTATTGTGTGTATTTACTAAAATTTACATCATGAAAAAAAAGAATTTCAGCAAATTACCTCTATTACAAATTAATGATTGAAATTTCGATGATTTCAATCGGAATTTCGCCAAAACCGACCGGTTTTCGAGAACTTGTCGGCAACTTAGGAAATTTGTATTTAAATTTTGGTTTATGAAATTTGTTCGGAATTTACCGGTTTTTCACCGGATTTCACGAAATTCTGAATTCGCCAACGCCCGAAATGGAAGGGTCTGTCGGAATCGTAAATCCTGAAGAGGAATCGTAAACCCTGACGAGGCATCGGTGGCTCATGCGCCGGCCAAGAGCTCAGCCAGTAGCTCCCCCCACGGCCCCACCTCTCTCTCGCGCGCGCGCTTCGCGCGGCGAGCACCGCACGTACGCCACCGGCCACCGCACGGTACGGCACGGCACACGTACGGCGAGACGACGTGGGCTACTGCGGCGTCTCCTCCGACAAGCTATAGCTCTCGCTCGCTCGGTTCAAGACGACGTGGGCTGCTTGCTAGTACTACCTACGGGGCCCCTGACCGCGACGCGCCGTACGCGCCGTGATGGAGCCAGTTCAGCTTTGCGAATTCGCGAAAATGGTGGGTATGATGGCCTGATGGGGAATGCTCGACCAGGAAACATAATTGATAAAGTCAAATGAGTGAAAGTTGCGTTGCATGTCGTAATCTTGAGTCATTGGTTATGCAGCTGTTCGTCAACTTTGGACGGAGATTCACAAATAGAATTCAATAATTTTTGTGTTTTTTTTATGCTATGTGAGTTTTTATTAGTTCGTATGTGCTTTTGTTTATTTAGGTGAGTTTTTATTAAGTTGGTGTAATAATTGGTTGTAACTCTTTGAGGAAAGGTCGGGATTATATTTCATTATCTAAAAAGGAAACATAATTGATTTTTTAAATTTTTTAGACCTTTTTATGTTCTAGTTTTATTAATAGACCATTACAAAAATTATTTCCAAATTTGCTAGCGAGAGCGGCGTGGCAAAATAACACTGTCACGCCAAGTATTGTTTTGCCACGTCAATTTGGCTGTCGTGGTAAAAAAGACGGAGATCTTGAAAATAAATTTTGGATCGTTTATTTTTAAAATTAAAAATTAAAAAGGTTCAAAAAAAATTCAACATAATTAGCATCGGCTAATTGGTGTGATAGCTAGATTACGACCGTGCAAAGGCGTCAGCGTGGTCGGGTTGGCCTCCGATTTGGCCATAGATTTATCGATTCAATCATGTCGTTTTTTTCGGTTTCCTGCTTTCCTTTGGTGTCTTCTAGATGACATATTGACACATGCTTTCGTGGGGGGTTAGACGAGATGAAGCGAGCGAGCCTAGCTCGATCTTCTCTGCATCATGCGGCGTCACCATGACGAACATGGCACAAGAGCATTAGCGTAGAGAACTTTTTACAGTACATGAGTACAATATTATATACTGGTAATATATAACCACTAGCGTTTGTGCTCTGAAATCTGAATGTAAGACTCTGCTTTCATATGGCTGGATGTACCATGGCATCGGTTTCAAGTGTGAATCAACAATCACAGAGGATCTAATCACGCTACTAGCTAGTCTCAAAACGTAAATTTTATCTCATGTCCCGTAAATAGTTTTCGTTCCAAAATATAAGAATTTCTAGTTCATTTAGCAAATATTATTGATAGATTAAAGTTTTTTTAGTCATTTCAGTTGTTGATTTTTGAATTTTGATTGTCTTGAATTTTTTTTCTAAGCATCTAGGAGGATACTGATATTAGGTTAAAGGATTGGCTTTGGAATCGTTGAATGAGCGCAAAAATGTTTTTGAACAGAGGGGATACGACTTGGCTGATCTCTCGGGAAGAAATTCCAACCGTAGAATTCACCTGCAGTTCGATGGAAATTCAGCAAATACGCGGAGATGTTCCGTTGCTTTCGCAATAATTTAGCACGTACAGATCATGAAGCTTCTGTGGAGTTTAGCTAGCTTTGTACCAACATCTCACGACTTGAGATGATCTGCACAAATTTAACTGCATCTCCTTTGATCGTCGACGGTTATGATGACATACAGTACAAAGTAGGTTTGGACCATTCTTGTTTTTAGGAACATTTCAGCAACCTTGGACTAGCTCACGATAGTCCCACTCTGGTTAATTTATACTCCCTCCGTTTCAAAATATTTGACACCGTTGACTTTTTAGTATGTGTTTGACCATTCATCTTATTCAAAAATTTTATGTAATTATTTATTATTTTCATATCATTTGATTGATTGTTAAATATACTTTCATGTACACATATAGTTTTACATATTTCATATTTTTTTTAATAAGACGAGCGGTCAAATATGTGCTAAAAAGTTAACGGTGTCAAATATTTTGAAACAGAGAGTATATGAAAACAAAGTCGTTTTCCCATTAGACGTTGTTATGAATAAATAATTAAAGGTTGCTTTAAGCAACTTTTTTAGAAGCATGTTAAAGGCAACAAGATTCTCATCCTGACGGAAGATAAAGGGGGATATCCTGAGATATCTTCAGCTCGCCAAATCTGAGCCAGAGACTCCAAGCACATGAATGGAAGGTTTAGTCGCAAAGCAGTCTTGCAGCCGCGACTAATCATCCACTCGGGGTTGCACGCATGATGCAATCATGCATGATTTGCAACTGCACTACTGAAAAAAATATCTGATTAGTCAAAGCTTAACTGCATGCTATGGTTTGCTTTCGGTGAGAAATAACCGACTGATTGAAGCTTTGCTCCAAAAACATAATTGCATCTGCATGCTGCACTACTACAGTTTTCTATGACAGTTTCTTGTAAGAGCAAGCTGCACATGCTAAGTTGATAACCGAGATGAGAGAACTCCACATGCTTACTGTTGCAAGCTATGCTCAAATGTATAAAATGGACAATTGGCCGCAAAAACAGGCCGGGCAAAGATACAATTTGCAATGCTACATGCATGGATTTGACCTTGCATAAACTAGTGATTCCAAAACGTGCCATGTCGGCCCAAAAACCGAGCACTTGCTAAATGCTAACTCCAGGTATGGCTACATGAGCTGTATAGAGCTTCAAATCAACTGATCAACAAGCAATCAAAGTATAATGTACAGACATATTCGGCAGATTAGAACAGATTTTGATCAGAGCTGACCCCATAGCCGCCAGCAAGCAATTTTTTTTTTGGGTGAACTAGTAGCTCTTAGCTAATCCCTACGTCCCAAAATATAAATATTTTTAGATTTCGACATAGTTTAACCAACAATCACATATTATGATAATTTGTTTAATTATAAATATAGTAACATCAATTTTATATGATTGATTTTTTTATATATATTTTTCTATTAATAGTCAAAATTAAAAATATTTGACTTGATACCATGCTAAAAATATTTATATATTTGCATTGGGTTTTACTTATCTCCTACTAGATCAATAGTTCAATACACCCTCCAGTCATAGAAGTATGTCAATTTAGATTATTCTTTTCAAAGTCAATGTAGCACTTAATTAGTTTGTATAAATCCAAAAATAGTTACCCAAGTGTAAGTACTATGAAAATTGTGGTCCAGAAATAGTTATACAATTTGCAGTACTATATATATATACACACACACACATATATATACATATATATATACACACACACAGTAAATTTGTTTGGTGCTCCATGGTGCCCAGGCACCATTGTTGAAATTGAGTATATACCCAATTCAAATGAGTATGAAACTTTTTCAATTACTTAGGTATTAACATTAACTACTTTACTAACTAGTTCAAAGTAAGTTTGAACTGAATTTGAACTTGTTTTTGTTAGATTTTGATTCTAGTTATATAGCATCCATACATATAATTAGTTAGGTATGTAATCATGGATTGTGAAATAAAGTTAAATTTGAGTTGTTTTGTTGATAGGTATAGGTATGAACCGAATTATATATGTATATGTGTGTGTGTGTGTGTGTGTGTGTGTGTGTATATATATATATATATATATATATATATATATATATATATATATATATGTATGTATGTATGTATGTATGTATGTATGTATGTATGTATGTATGTATGTATGTATGTATGTATGTATGTAAGTATGTAATTTTCAAACATCCAACTCCTATATCAGAACAATAATTACGGCCAAAGTTAGCATAATGGATTTTAGAATGGCATTCTTTTATCATCGGAAGTACTCTCTCCTTTTTATATTATAGGTTATTTTAATTTTTTTCTAGTTACATTGTTTTAAGTTGGACTAATTTTATAGATAAAAACAGTAGAATTTTCAACATAAAACAAACCTAATACCAAAGTATATTCATGGTTAGATTTAATGAAACTAATTTTGTGTTTTAGATATTGCTAATTTTTTTTATAAATTTGGTCAAATTTAAAATAGTTTGACAAAGAAAAAAGTCAAAGCGACTAATAATATGAAATAAAGGTAGTAGTAGATTAAAAAAAGGGATTTGCTAGAAAACTTTTGCAAGTTTTTGCCCTAAAAACTTTCATATTTGTGACCATCGGATCACATTGAGATTTGTGCATGAAGAGAACAAAATGCTAGAAAGAAATTTTTACACACGTCACGTGTAAGATTCCAATGCTAACTAACCAAATCATAGTTGAACACACAATATAATTATATTTCAATTATACTGTAGTTACATACTTACTACGTATATTTGAATTTTTTTCATTAAAAAACTTGGGGCAGTTTTTAGATACTCCCTTAAAAAAAATCTTGCCAAACTGGATCAACACCGGCCAAAGCTTACATTACTGCATGCCACAGAAACCCCCACATGCAGCGGCTGCTGATACTAATCAACAGTTCATCGCCGGTTGATTGCGCATAAAGGCTTCGCCCTTCGGTTGGCGCTACGCCACGGCCGCCGCTCTCTGCCCTGCTTCTGGCTCCCATCAAATTTATTGCTCACGCACGCACTTGTCCATATCCTAATCCTGATGATATCCAAGTTGGGCGCGGATGGGTCAACGTAACAGCATCCGTTGCTTCTTCTGTATTATTCAGTTGCCAAATGCCAGCCCATCCCTTGTGAATTTATAGTTGTAAACAAAAATCCCTTGTAAATTTATACACCTCCAAGCCTCCAACTTGAATCACCCTATCTGCATAGCATACTGAAAGCCGAAGCAGGGGGAAGGAGAGCGATCGGCAAAGTCGGTCAAAGGGAGAGTGACAGAGTGACAGTGTATAAGTAGTGGCTGGTTGGTTGGTTGCAGCACTGGTTCGGTGTGAGCGAGCGAGCGAGATAGCCATATCTTCGCTGTGCGTCGTCGTCGTCGCTGCGTGGTGAATTCTTGGGGAGGAGGAGGACGAGATGGCGGGAGGCGGCGTGGCGGCGCTGGGGGTGAAGAAGGAGCGGGCGGCGGAGTACAAGGGCCGCATGACGCTCGCCGTCGGCATGGCCTGCCTCGTCGCCGCCGTCGGCGGCGCCATCTTCGGCTACGACATCGGCATCTCCGGTACGTCACGTACACCACCCCCCATCACCTCCTAGCTCCTTTCGCATCGGCTGCTCGTCAGCCACCATGGGGGTCATTGGAGAAGACAACAACTTCTGTGTGGCTTTGTTCAACGAACATGTCCCGTGTCTTATCTTGCTAGCTCGCTAGCGGCCTAGCGCTGTACGCCGTGGCCCCCGTGGATTTTGGAGCCAAGTGCGGCTCGTGTTGGCCCCTTTCGCTCGCCAACACGCATACTCTCATGCCTTTTCGCAGTTTGTTTGCTTCTCCCGGCGATTATTTGTTCGCACATGGATGGAACGGGAGCGTAACACCTAGAGTTTCGCTTTGCGAGAGCCTTTTTTTTCTCCTCCCGATCAAAAGGTGGATTGGTTCATAGAGTAGTAGTTGAGATTCAATGGTGTGGCCTTTCTGAACTGACTAGCTAGGCGAATGATTGGGCGATTCGTGCAGCGTAGGCAGGCATTGTGCAGTGGTTTTGGGTTTGCATGATCCGTTGATGTGATCATTCCTGTAGCAGTAGAATTTGGAACAAATTCAGGGAAGCAGAAAAACTGGGAACCTTTTACACACGCAAAAGCTGCTTTTGACTACACTACTACACACGTGGCCGGAATCCCCACCGTATCTGTGTCCTCTTTCAGTTCAGAGTGATAGATATCGCGGTGTTGTGTTTTCGGTCAAGCTGTAATCATGTCGGAGAGATTTGCTTCGTACCAGCAAGAGCTGCAAATTGGAGGTTAGTATTAGGGTGTGTTTAGTACACGTTAAAATTAAAAGTTTGATTAAAATTTGAACGATGTAACGGAAAAGTTAAAAGTTTGTGTGTATAAAAAATTTTGATGTGATAAAATAATTGGAAATTTGAAGAATAAGTTTGGAACTAAACTCGTTCTTAGGCACTGAATTTTAGCAGCAGTTTCGTCGAAGGTACTACGCCTGGTACAACCGCGAGACCTTAGCGGCCGTACTGGCCTGATGAGTGGTGCTCTTGGAGTTCGATTCTTGTGGACGAGGGCGATTGCATCATCATATCCAACAATTAGGCGATCATTTCCTCGTGTGAGAACAAAACTATTTTTTTTTAAGAAAAAAAAGAGAACACCAGGCTGAATACACCATCCATAGAAGACCATTGACTTCACCAATAAAAGTTATAAAACAGCTTTGTTGCTTTATATTTGCATGACTTTATTATATTTAACAAACAATCAACTAGACCTTAGGCATTGTGAATGGTGATTGTTTATTCCCAAGTAGTAGGGGATACCAGACCAGCCGGTTTTCTAGCGTCAACATATTCAGATGAGACACCATATCTCCTCCACTTCACAAGACATCGCTTTAGCTAGGTGTATAATTATCTTTTTCATGCTAATCGAAGGAAGAATCATTTGTATGATGCTAATTTATTCAAGTGTTCTCATTTGCTGAAATGGGCCGTCTTTGATATTTTCATTTAGCTGTGTTTTTTTTGTCAGCGGTATGACTTTTAGTTTGTCTTCTTGTTTATTTTAATATGTTAGCATATGTTTTTCATGTTTTTCCATTGGTAGGGAACTACCACAATACAGTTTTTATTTTTTTAAAAAAAGATAGAGCAGTTCATTTTTTTCCCAAAAAAACACACTCAAACGGGCAAGTTAGTTGTAGCCAATCGGACCAACTTGTCTTCCTGCCCACACGCCTTTGTGATATGATGTCATGCCTGCTACAGTTGCTCTGGTGACGTGGACTGACAACGTGTCACCTCGTCTTGCCCTAGCCAATTACATTTGCATGACAAGTGGGTCCATGATGTCAGTAACGTTGAGAGAGGTAACGGAATTAATTGTAGCTTTGTGAATTGTGATAATTGTACTCTCTAACGTTGTAGCTATATAAAATTGCTTGCTAATGTTACTTGATAACTTTGATAACTAGTTGAAACCCCACGCGTTGCAGCGGGATATTTTGTTGAGATTGGTGGTTGGCTGGTTGCATTTGGTAAATTGAAGTTGTATAAAAATCCCTCACTATTGAATTGGGCCACGATCAAATTAGATGGGCCTCCTATCGTGAATGTGGTGTGCGATGGTTAGACTGTGTTTTTTCATCTAACGGTTCAAAGAAGATCAAATCTACTGATCCAACGACTGAGAATTAACGATGATGTGGCACATTGAGGTTTGAACTTTAGGATCTTAATTGCACTTAGTGGGTTATAACTTTATAGTAAGAAAGGATTTGGTTAATAAAGTTACAAGTTCATCATCTATCAATCATTTTTAACTAGCCAAAGTCATAACTTAATCAAAGCGGAGGAAGGAGCGAATTCCACATACACTACTCGACTCTTTTCCCTTATTTCTTGCTTTGTCATCAGTGACGGGTCATAAGTTACAACCCGTCAGAGATTAGTCATCAGTGACGGTCATGTAGTTACGACACGTCACTGATGACTCATCTGTGACGGGTGACAAGTTTTAACCCGTCAGAGATGACTTATATACCGGTCAAAGATGAGTTATATGTGACGGGTGTTTCACTCGTCATAGGTGATTTTGTCATCAGTGACCACTAATCACTGACCAAAGCCAAACCCGTCAAAGGTGAGGGTTTAGGCCCGTCAGAGATGACCTGGTCCGGCGTAGTGGATAGTGCAAGGAGGCAACGAAGCTTCTCCCTTCCCCTTCCTATTCCCTATCACGCCATCTCACTATGGCTGGGAGAAGTGATGCCTCCTTTCATTACCTTCCCCCGCAAACTGAGAAGAGGGGAACAAAGTCATGTAGTGTGCTTTGACAAGGTTATGACCTAGGCGATGCCCACGTGTTGAGTTGTTCTATCATCTTCTCGCCCACGTACTCGTATGATGTGGTATCTTGCTACAGTAGCTTTGGTGACATGGACTACCAATGTGTTGCCCTGTCTCGCCTAGCCAAGTTCTATTTGTATGGCAGGTGGGTCCATGACGTATAGTGTTGAGAGATAACAAGATTGTAGTTTTGTGATAGTTGTATTTGCTAACATGAGATTTACTCTGGTCCAACAAAAAGTATCTCGAGGTACCGGTACCTCACGGTATTGTAGTAGTCGGGCCTCGGCACGGCCTAGGCCCGGCCGTGACTGGGCCAAGAGTAGTCGGGCCGGTACGACCTGACCTACACACCGGGCCATGCCGTGCCAGCCCACGGGCCGCACATGACTCGGGCCGGCTCGAAGGCACGACAGCCCATCGTGCTTTTCCACAGAATAAGTCTAGTTTCCCTCCATCTTGGGCTGCGACATATATATAGCTAAAAAGTCTATTTTCCCTCCATCTTCTTTTGGCTGTGACATATAAATAGCTAAATAAGTCTATTTTAGGTCTCTATTCTTTGGACCATGACATTAATATGTCTATTTTTAGTCCCTATACTTTGTGTGCCGGGCCCGGCCTGCCGGCCCAGCGTGCCGGTGGGGAGGCCTAAGCACGTCCCGGCAGTTGGGGCGTGCCGTGCTTGGGCCGGGCCAAAATACCGTGCCGTGGGCCAAGCCTTCGGGCCTCGGGCCTTATGGCCATCTATACGCGGTATTAAATTGTTTCCAATCGTTAGATCTAACAATGTCCATCTTGTCCAGCTAGATCCAACGATTGGATACAATTTAGTACCGTGAAATACCGGTACCTCAAGATACTTTTTGTTAAACTGAAGTAAATCTTCCAAATTTTACAATACAAAATACCTCGAGGTAAAAAAAATTATGCTACCTCGAGGTAGCAATCGTTGGATGGTAAAATTACTCGAGAAGCTATGTTTGTACTGTCAGTTCTGAAGCTAGAGCATCGCATTCCATCAAAGATGCTAAAAAAAAATATCATGTTTCACCTGGAAATCACAGTTGAGCTCCGGCGATCTGACAAACGGTTGCTGCAGGGGGAGTGACGTCCATGGATCCGTTCCTCAAGAAGTTCTTCCCGGTGGTGTTCCGGAAGAAGAACGACGACGGCCAGAACAACTACTGCAAGTACGACAACCAGGGCCTCTCGGCGTTCACCTCCTCCCTCTACCTCGCCGGCCTCGTCTCCTCCCTTGCCGCCTCGCCGGTGACGAGGAACTACGGCCGCCGCGCCAGCATCGTCTGCGGCGGCCTCAGCTTCCTCGCCGGCGCCACGCTCAACGCCGCCGCCGTTAACCTCGTCATGCTCATCCTCGGCCGCATCCTGCTCGGCGTCGGCATCGGCTTCGGCAACCAGGTGCGATATATGCGACATCGATGAAATGAATCGAGTTCTTGTGCTTGCGTTGCTTTGATGCTAATGGTGTTTGTGCTTGGCGTCGCAGGCCGTGCCGCTGTACCTGTCGGAAATGGCGCCGGCGCACCTCCGCGGCGCGCTGAACATGATGTTCCAGCTGGCGACGACGCTGGGCATCTTCACGGCGAACATGATCAACTACGGGACGCAGCACATCAGGCCGTGGGGGTGGCGGCTCTCGCTGGGGCTCGCGGCGGCGCCGGCGCTGCTGATGACCGTCGGCGGGCTGCTCCTGCCGGAGACGCCCAACAGCCTGATCGAGCGCGGGCGCGTCGAGGAGGGCCGCCGCGTGCTGGAGCGCATCCGGGGCACCGCCGACGTGGACGCCGAGTTCACGGACATGGCGGAGGCGAGCGAGCTCGCCAACTCCATCGAGCACCCGTTCCGCAACATCCTGGAGCCGCGCAACCGGCCGCAGCTGGTGATGGCGGTGTGCATGCCGGCGTTCCAGATCCTGACGGGCATCAACTCCATCCTCTTCTACGCGCCCGTGCTGTTCCAGAGCATGGGCTTCGGCGGCAGCGCGTCGCTCTACTCCTCAGTCCTCACCGGCGCCGTCCTCTTCTCCTCCACCATCATCTCCATCTCCACCGTCGACCGCCTCGGCCGCCGCAAGCTCCTCATCAGCGGCGGCATCCAAATGATCATCTGCCAGGTATTCCCCGTTTCAGAAGTCAAACTACTTTAAATTTAATTAAGTTTATAGACAAATATAGTATTAATTTATAATACCAAATTAGTTTTATTAAATTAATAAATAAATATATTTTCTTAATAAATTTGTCTTGGGTTGAAAATGTTACTATTTTTTTCTACAAATTTAATCAAATTTAAAATAGTTTGACTTTAACCAAAGTCAAAATGTCTTGTATATCCTGATGAGTTTATTGGAAAACGCAATTGCAGGTGATAGTGGCGGTGATCTTGGGGGTGAAGTTCGGGACGGACAAGGAGCTGACGAGGAGCTACTCGATCGCGGTGGTGGTGGTGATCTGCCTGTTCGTGCTGGCGTTCGGGTGGTCGTGGGGGCCGCTGGGGTGGACGGTGCCGAGCGAGATCTTCCCGCTGGAGACGAGGTCGGCGGGGCAGAGCATCACGGTGGCGGTGAACCTCTTCTTCACCTTCGTCATCGCGCAGGCGTTCCTGTCCCTGCTCTGCGCGCTCAAGTTCGGCATCTTCCTCTTCTTCGCCGGGTGGATCACCGTCATGACCGTCTTCGTCCACGTCTTCCTGCCGGAGACCAAGGGCGTGCCCATCGAGGAGATGGTGCTCCTATGGAGGAAGCACTGGTTCTGGAAGAAGGTCATGCCCGACCTGCCGCTCGAGGACGGCGACAGTCATCACAAGTGAAAGAAATGTACTCTGAGATAGTATATGGGGGTTACAGTAGATGAGACATGACATGTAGGATGAGGAGATTAAGATTGATCATGTGCGGTAATGCATTCTGTGTGTATGTTAATTGAAGTTCATGGATCATGATGTCTGTTTGTCGTGGCAGAGAAGAGAAATATTGGAAACACAAAATTTTATACTACTCGATTATTAATTGTCTGAATCCTCGTGAAAATATTAGGGGTTGTTCAGATTGTAGCAAAAATAAACTTTACCAAATTTTAGCATGGCAAGTTTGACAATATTACCAAAATTTTAACAAAATTTACCAACATTTACCAAAAGTTGTCTGTTCAAATTTCTTATGTATTTATCAAAGTTTGGCAACAAACTAAATGTATATATTTTTTAGTAACTTAAAAAAAAGATATGATTGAAAATAGCATCAATCTTAATAGACCCATTGTGTACTCCCTCAAACATATATAAAAAAACAAATCTAGTACGAAATATTCGTTTAAATTCGTAATACTAAAATATGTTTTATACAAGGTTTGTTTTTTTTTCATACGAGATTTTTTTATGAGACGAGGGAATACATGCCCTAATATTTACTCGATCCTTTGCATCTACAGTCAAGTTAACTCAACTCGTCACAAGTTACTGGAGTATCTGCTAGTAGTATGAAGTAACCCTACAGTGTATTCCACCATGGCCATGAAAAGTATTCCCCTGTTTTATAAAAAATCCAATCATAAGTTTGATTATCTTAGGTTTGAATCAAACTTAGGATGTGACAGAGGGGATACGCTTGAAATCATGAATGCCTTCGTCTTTCTTGTGAGCAACCACAATGTGGTATAAAAGTAGGCATAGGTGCAGGGTGTGAGAGGCTAGGGATTGGTCTTTTATTTCTCTTGTAGGGCCTACTTCCTTCATCCCCAAAAGAACCAATTCCTGGCTATGAATCTGGACAAGTATATGTCCACATTCATAGCCAGAAATTAATTCTTTTTGGGACGGAGGGAGTACCTTATATGTTTATATTTTGCATTCACACATTGTGGCATATGTATTACTATCTCCGTCCTAAAATATAGCTAATTTTAGCACCGTAAACTAGGGGTAAGAAAAAGTGGTATTAGAGGTGGTCTGAACGGAAACTATTTTTATCCCTCGAGGGGATATCCCTTCGCTCTTTGCATGTCAGTTAAATAGTTATGAAATTTTTTTAAAAAAAATTAAAAGATGCATTGACATATAATATATCACTCAACAAATATGCAAGTTCAAATTCAACCTTTACATCTCGCAACGAAAAAAACAAATTTAACTGTGAATATACGTTAATTAACTCGCTGTAGTTTAATTTATTTTTTTCGTTGTGAGATATAGAAGTTGAATTTATATTTGCATGTTTGTGGGATGATATATCACATATTAATATATATCTTCTTAATTTTTTTTAATTATTTTTATAACTATTTGAATGACATACAAACAACGAAGGGATATTCCCTCGAGGGATCAAAATCCACTCCCTATTCCGAACCTATGCCAATTTTACCGTCGGTTTCTACATGTTTTACGACGCAAAGACTGAATCTCAACTATTATTTTCAGTTATTTCACACTGAAGTACTGGACAGTTCGACATGCTCTGTAGATGAGGTTGTGTACATAACATGATCCTTTTAATTTTAGTTCGACTTTCTCACTACCGTAGATTGGAGTTTTGAGGACCATATGGACCGGACTTTTCCCGGATCTGGCAACAAGACAGCCAATTTTGCATTTCGACGGGTTAAAACTTAAAGGGAAAATTGGAACCATGCCATTATAATTTTGTAAAATTTGAGATATGTCATCCTGACCCATATACAGCTTCACAATATGAACTGTGAATCCCATGGTGACATGTTCGTCGCGGAGACAATACAAACGGAGATCCTACCGTACTGGAGTATTCTTGTACACCACACTACAGTTCTATACATGGGTTCACGGTTCGATCCACTTGCACCGTAGTTTGTTCCTACTCTACTCTGCTTGACTCCTTGTCCCTCTCATTGCTCGAACTCGAAGCTATACCCATATAGCCGTCGGCGCCGCCGCGCCGGCGTGCTGCGCGGCGGCGAACCGGTCGTCATCACGCGCACGCTGCCGAGCGGCGTCCGCGAGACTCGAGCAGGAGCACGGGGATGGGCAGCTCGGAGGGATCCGGCGGGATCACGAACGATGGCCCCCCGTACAAGACGCGGGAGGTTTTCGGCTTCGTCGCCGGGGCTCGTCGCTGTCCCGCCGCCGCCACCGCCACCGCCACAGGCCGGGGAATCTTCGCCGCGGCGAGGGCGATGCGCTGCTCTGCAGCGACCGCAGGCTCCGCGCTATTCGCCGGCGAGATGCACTGCTCTGCCGCCGCCGCCACCGCAGGCTGGTCCATCTTCGTCGGCGTGACGCACTGCACTGGTGCCATCTCCGCCGGCGCGATGTACCGATCTGCTTCTGCTACAGGCTCAGCCTTCTTCGCCGGCGCGACGCGCTGCCCAGCCGCCGCAACAGGCTCGGCGTGCTCCTCCGCCGCCGCCGCCGCTGCACCGCACTGGTCCGCGGCGGGAGCCTCCACCGCCACCGCCGCACCGATCTCCGGCGCGAATCGGTCCCCGAGCTTCAGGATCACGACTTTCTCCATGGCGCGCATCTGCGACTGCGACTGCGACGGCCGCGGCGCGGCGGCGCGGTGAGAGTGGGACGACGACCCACGCCCGCGCGGCTGCCGCCCGTTCGCCCGTCCACCGCGGCGCGGCGGCCGCGCCAGCTTGGACGCACGCGTCGGGTGATCCGTAGCGGCGGCAGCTGCTGCTGCACACTGCACGCCGCCGCCGCCGCCGCGGAGGCAGTCAGTGGGCCGGAGCGTCAACACTGCAGCCATGGCGATGGCGACGCCGCGATCAACTCGGTGTTTAACTCGGCGTCGATCGCGAGAAGGCGGGAGACGATTTGAGCGGACGATGTGGCGGCAAATATATATAGCTTTTCGAGGCGGAATATACCTTCCCCGACTCGGATTTCGGACGGCGGAGAGGTGGGCCCGGATGAAGGCCCGGCCCATCACGGTCCACAAATTACGGCCCATAACTCGCTCTACTCTCTCGCTGTCCCGATCCAGGCCCGGCTTTGGCTGCTCGTCTTCCTCCGCCGCCCATCCGAAGAGTTGCCCACGCCGCGGCGGCGCCGGCGAGTCGGCGACGGCGACGAGCAAGCCCGGGCCGGAGAGCGCTGCTGCCGCCTCCAGACGAGGTATCTGCCTCAACCCGCCTGCTTCCGTCACTCCATCGCCCGGCCCCCTTCCGACTGCTCAGGTGGTTTTGCTCTGCATTGTTAGGGTTTTCTGGTCATGGCGACTCCCGTGAACCAGGATAGCATCACTCCGGTGAACACGTGGGAGGAGGATGAACTGGAGCTGGAAGAAGAGGAGGTAACAGCAAGCAGATGTGACCCCACAGGCCGCAGCCATGGCGTTGTTTAGAGTGGCATTGTTGTTTGGGTTTTCTTTATTATTTTCTTTTACTTCCTTATTAGGATCGAATCAGTGTCTAAATTCTTCCTGTTTCTGCAAGGGTTTGTTATGCAAGCGCAAAAGGGCTAAGTTTTCAGATTCCACTGTCCGACAGCAACAGGGGATTGAAGCTGCAGCCATGGATATGGTGATGGAGGAGGCTGCTGCTCTTTCACTCGGAGTTTCCGCTAGCAAGGAGCCTGTGCATGTGGCCACTGGTCGTGTCGAGCAGAGCAATTGTGGAGCAAAGCATGCCAATGGTATCTGAAATTTATTCTTTCGGAACAGTTCGCTAATCTGACTGTGATTTACAGTATAGTGCTAATATTTGAAGTTAGGGTGTAGGATATTTGCAGCCCCTTAATTAGGATATAGCACCTTGTAGGATGTGAAACACGCCAGGAAATAGCCTTTGCTCGTCTATGAATGCTGATTATTTGTTATGTAACACTTTACAGATATCTGATCTGTTGAATTAGTTTATTAGAGAAGTCAAGCTGGACACGGATTTGAGAATTGACATAAAGACAGATTAGCATGGTACTAGAACAATGTAGTCACTTAGTCATGGTCTCCTACAGATTAACCAACCAAATCCAAACAGTTAAGGATAGTTTGTTAGATCACAAAGACATCCTTGTTCATGTAATATATGAGTTTAAATGACCTCTATACATAATTTAGACAAGTGTGAACCTGTTCAAACTGTATTTTACTCTGAATTTGATATAATATGCATGCATGTTAGAATACTGAAATGCCATATGCATGGATCTATGAGAAAGGATAACGCAGAAGGTCACAAGATGCTAACTCATCATAGCATGGCTAAATTGTCCTTCACCTGCCCCCCCCCACCCCCCTCCTCCTTTTTTTTTTCTCTTTTGGTGTGTTTGTTACCCTGTACTAACTTTTCGGAAACCTAAGTCACGTCAAATGTGGAACTATGCCACGTTCTTCATCCCAGGAACACGGGAAAAATCTCGTCCCTGCCTTGTTAAACCCTAATAAAAGTAGTGTCCCTCGATCCCATTCCACGAACCATTGACCTTAGAACTTTGGTGACATTGCTTGAAACTTTCCATATTCAGATATATGCAAGTTGCTGCATTAACTACTAACCTTATGTATGAGTTGTGTTTGTAATTAGGAATTTTTTTATTACTCCCAAGTAATTCTAGCCCATCCATTCTAGAACATCCTATGGTTGTTATGACTATTACAATATAGGAGGTACTAATGTCATTATTTATCACAAAGGGAAATAAGACTTTTGGCAACATATTATAGAAAGAAATAAATGCTAAAACTATGCTGCATGCATGCTGGCTGTGTATATCCGTCTGTGGTTATAGAGTCCAGATTTCTATCCATTATCCAAAAAATTGTTGCACGCATGCATTCATGCAATCAATCCTCATACACTTTTTTCCCCTTAGGATTTAATCAGTGTCTCAATTCTTCCCCTTTCTGCAAGGGTTTGTTATGCAATGCTAAAATCATTCCATTTAATATTTCCCTTACTATAGAATCACAGCATATTTTTAAAAATATATTTTAATCACCATAAAATGATATTCCCTTGTATCAAATAATAACCGAGAAACATTTCAGGAAATTAAATTTAGTATAATATAAATTTGATTACTTCAAACATCCAGATAATTTACAGCATATTAGAAAACAGAGACACTGAATAAACTTGTTGAGAATAAATTTTTGGCAAAGCAAACTTGAGTTTCCAACAATATAACTTAGACCCAACCGATCAAATTCAAACATTATATCAACGTACATAAAACTTAAACATCAATGTCATAATTGGATATTTAACTTTGAATGTGAAAAGGGGTAAGTTTTCCGATTCCATAGTCCGACAGCAACATGGGATTGAAGCCGCAGCCATGGAGAAGGTGATGGAGGAGGCTGCTGCCCTTTCACTCGGAGTTTCCGCTAGCAATTGCAAGGAGCCTGTACATGGGGCCAATGGTCGTGTGGAGCAGAGCAATGGTGGAGCAAAGCATGCCAATGGCATGTGAAATTTACTAATCTAGGGCTGGACAAAAAGTTCGTTAGCTCGCTCGACTTGGCTCTTTGCGTTTTTGTAATGAGCCGAGCTGACGTTTCAGCTCGTTAGAGATAACGAGCCAGCTCGCTCGAGCCAGAGCAGCTCACGAACCAAACGAGCCAAGCTAGCAACGAAAGCCCTGCTAGTGGCAGTCCCCAGCATAGCAGCCCAAACCATCCCAGCAAAGTCCATCTGGCCATCTCTAGGAGTATCTTTGAGTCATAACCCTAAAACTCTACAATCCTAGCTATCCTCTCCCCACGCTGCCACCAACTTCTCTCACGGGCTCCCATCGACGACAATGCTGATGCATGGGCCCAATGGCAACGGCGCTGATGCATCACGCATGGACTGCAGCCGCATCATTTGAAGTAAACTATAAATTAATATTTTTAATATATATTTTAATCACCATAAACCAATATAACCTTATATCAAATAATAACCGAGAAATATTCCAGAAAATTAAATTTAGTATAATATAAATTTGATTACTTCAAAGATCCAGATAATTTACAGTATATTAGAAAACAGAAATACCAAGTAAACTTGTTGAGAATCAATTTTTGGCAAAGCAAACTTGACTTTCCAACAATATAACTTAGACCCAACCGATCAAATTCAAACATTATATCAACTTACATAAAACTTAAACATCAATGTCATAATTGGATAATTAATTTTGAATGTGTTTTCTATGTTGCATGCATGCTGGCTGTCTATATCCGTCTGTGGATATAGAGGCTGGATTTCTTTCCATTATCTTAAAAAAAAATGTTGCATACATGCATCCATGCAATTAATCCTCGTACACTTCTTGGGCACCTTAAAACAAGTCAATTAAAATGGATTAAACTGGCAATTAATCCTTGTACACTTTTTACCTCCTAGGGAAAAGCATGGGTGACTTCTAGGAGAGCCTCCAATTAATTTAGAGATCGATCTAACAGTTTGCTTTTGCAGATCCTTGATACATGGTATACTTTATTAGATTGAAGCCACTAAGTATACATTCTTGAGAAATAACATCCAAACTCCAAACACATGGATTTCTGGCTGATCAACACTACTGTATTGTAAATGGCAATCCAATTTTCTCCATGCTTGAAATCAAGAATCCTGAACTCTGGATCAAAATGTGATCTTTCATAAATAAACCAGGGCATAGAACAATTGGTTATGGCATTTAAAATGAGGAGACATCAGTAGATCATATAGATTATTGTTGTATCTTACATGATACAATATTTAAAGGAAAGCCGCTGATTTCAAAAGCTAATAATTTTGTTGAAATTTGCAGGGACTACAGATAATGAACCAGCAAGGTTGAGACTGCATAAAATCTGCTCTGCAACTCACTGGAAGGAACCATCATATGACTTTGAAGAACAAGGGCCTTCCCATCTTAAACTGTAAGTTTTTCTATTAACTGGTGAATTGTCAATGTTTTATTTTATGCATCACTGTGAATTACATTACTGTGAGTGTGATTAGCCAACCATATCAGCCTATCCTAGGTAAAGCAACTAGACCTTACCATTGTATGTCTCTTATAGAGTTCTCTGAGTACTTGTCATTATTAATCTTTTCTTCCATCTTGTTAACACGAGTAAAAGATGATAACACGATTACGAGTCTATTAGTTCATAATGGCACTGTACTTCATAGAAGTTTTTTTTCATGGTTTGGTTAAGAAACCGATGAATTCCACAAGTCAAAACTGGAACATGTCCATTGGCAAGGGGCAGCATTAAGCACATACCTAGTAGTACTCCAGTATTTCCAATTTATCTCTGCAATTCACAACGGTGAACTGGTGTTTTTACCTTAGATGTGAAAAAAGAAAGCGTCAAACCACCAATCTGTTTCAGAGCTCAACCAGCTATAGTATTTTCACTCTTTAACATGGTATATTTTGCTGAGAGATAGGTGTGCTTCATGCTGGGTTATGCATCATACTCAACATCCTACACACTTTATATTATTTTGGTAGCATGAAAAATAGCAAATTACCAGAATATCTTATTTCTGGATTGCTGTCCCATCTATGACTGAAATCCAGTGATGACTGAAATCTGGTGAGTGTCCACCATTTGACGTTTTTAGCTATTTTGAGATTCATTCATGACCCTTCCTAATATATCAGTGAGCTCGAATGTTATCTATCAGAATCAAGTGGATTCTTTCATTATCGTTTACCTTTAACCCTTGTAAGTATTTTTGTCCATTGATCGCTTGCGTATGCTAATACAATGGCTAGACTAATTTTAACACTTAATGTGGGCATTGCTAATGCTGTGAAAACTATGCAGGTTCACTTGCAAGGTGACTATCCATGTGGATACATTCACAACCACCATTGTGGAGTGCATCAGTGAACCTAATCGTTCCAAGAAAGCTGCCCAGGAACATGCTGCTCAAGGTGCATTGTGGTACCTCAAGATCTTTGGACACGCCAATTAATCTCAGACGCTCCAGGTAGTAACTTAAACGACTTCCAGGTAGCACAGTGCTAACCCAGTGTTCCTTTTCCACTCGCGTGTATTTCATCCACTACAGGGGCAGTGTTCTTTCTTAATCCAAGGTTGGATCAGTTGCTCCATGTACATATCCGAAATTCTTGCTCTACGTAGGTGTCATCTATCTAGTCCAGGAGAGTTCTATGTTATGTCGTACATGGCCACATGGGGTCCCTTTTTGTATATACTGCTACTACGTATTTACCACTTGGGCAGAGCCAGAAAGGCCTTTCTACTATGCTCTATACAATCAGTTAACTCTTTAGTAAATTTCACAAAGTCATAGGTATTATATGGTTCAAGTTACATAAAACCACAAGGTTTTTGACATATATAACCTCGGGTATTATGGGCATATGGTTTAAAACCATATTCCCATAATACCACACATTTGACCAATTACATAGTATCAAATTTACAACTTCAACTCATCATATACCAATTGTAGCTATCTAGGTTTAAGCATTTTTACTTTTCTATGGTAACAAATTAAAGTTGGATATCGGTGTGATTTTATGAAACATTTGGACCGTAATACCGGGAGTTACGTGTCACATCTGACATGTCAAAAACATGTGATTCCGTGTAACTTGGATCATAATACATGTGGTTTTGTGAAATTTACTCCCAACTCTTTTTGTCCAATGAGGCTATCCTATATTTGATTCATCCGTGTCTTGGTAATTTGCAAGAGCAAAACTCTGCAGCCAACCAAGTGTGTGATCTTCTACAACACCACGCAGGACAGATCAGGGTAGTTGGAGAAGATACATGTCCCACGTAGGCAGGTAGATCAAGTCAAATATCCACTACATTTTTCTCCAAAAAGATGTCACGAAACAAGTGTTTGGTCGCCATTGCACTAGGATGACCAGGTGGCAATCGACTGCTCGGTCACAATATGAGCTTGTCGTCAGCCGATGGCTAATTCAACCAGTATGACACCGTGGAAAAGTAGTTCTAGTATAGATAAAAGAAAACCAAGTTAACCTGTATCAAAGCATGAGCCTATTAGTGCCACGTAAACTTAAACAGTGAGGTGAAGAAGAGAAGAGGGGAGTGAAAGGGTGAGTCAAACAGTGAGCTGGTTTGTCTAAACCAACTACCACTCTATTTATAAGAGACACCATCTACCTATACTTCAAATACAATTTTCTTTTAAACTACTCATTTAATCTACGATCCGATTACACAATTATGTTCGTAACAATTAAATCTTTACGTCAAGATCTCACACGATTATATTTTGATGAAAAATCACAAATTACTTTTATGATATGTCTAAATTACTTTAGATTTCACTAAGTTACTTATTAGACATACAAAAGTAAATTCAGTAAAGTTTAAAAGTAATTTACATATATATTATAGAAGTAACTTATATAAAAAAAGTAACTTTAATTAATACATTTTTCATTGAACAAATTATCATATATATAATTATCATATATATAAGTTACTTTTTTAGATTTGATTAAAATACTTCCTATACATTCACAATGCTCTGAGGTGATTACTTTTATTATTGTTTTTAGTTAATTCCATAATTGTGTTGATTAATTTAATTTCTAGATAGAGTCATGTTTTTATCTCTACAACGGATTTATTTCAAATGACATGCCAAAGTTACATTTGTTTTGTTCCAAGTTACTTCTATAATATATGTAAATTACTTTTAGGATTTACTGAATTTACTTTTGTATGTCTAAGAAGTAACTTAGTGAAATCTCAAAATAATTTAGACATATCATAAAAGTAATTTACGATTTTTCATCAAAATATAATCATGTGAGATCTTGTTGTAAAGATTTAATTGTTACGAACACAACGGTGTATCGGATTATAGATCGGATAAGTAATTTAAGAGAAAATTTCATAAGAAGAAAAAAAAAATATGCACAACCTAATAGCAAAAACTACTTGCATGCATGTCTGTAACGCTACTAGTACTTCTCACGTAATTGTCCGTGTCGCTCGTTAAGTCTAAATCGAGATGCCTCTCGAAATAGATTTTGCGTTCATAAAAGGGATAACATCTTCGTAAACTTTAAGAAAAAAAGATAAAAGAGTGATGTTGATTTGATGAGAATGAATAAAATAAATAGTTATGTTGTATTGGGACTAATATATTAGAGACAATATGTAGTATATGTTGCCTCCTAATTAATTAGTTGATAATGTGGATAATATTAGATATGGTAATCACTAATCACCCCTATCATAAAACTTGCTCTAAAGAGGTGATATTTTGTACCTTCGATAATGAATGTGCTGGTGGATGGTGATCTGGCACCTCCTAAGAATGGAAAAAGTATTCTACTACCAATCCAGATCTTGTGCAGTACTGCACATGCATCACAGACATGTGAGCCTAAGGGTTTGTGGGATCCATCTGTCAGTGAGCCGTACTACATGTGTAGTACTATAGATGACTATCGCTCATTCTACTACTACTACTACTCAATCTCTCTCTCTCTCTCTCTCGGTGTTCCAAAATATAACATCTGTTTTTAGAAAAACTAACATAGGGAAACATTTTCTTTTAGTCATTTTAGTTTACATTGTAGCATAAATTTTGAATTTCTATAAATACTTATATATTTGAAATGGATGGAGCAGGATTTTTATGGGATAATAAATAAACTGGAAGAAGTGGTTTAAATAATACGGAAGAAAACATATATTAAAAATCATCGAGCAAATAGAAGTTACACAGTGTATAACATTTTATATGGAAGTTTATCTAATTTTTTGTTTTATGTATCCGTACTTAATCTTCATTGATTCAAACAGGGGTGTGTTGTCTAATAGATGTTTGTTGCAGACAGTGCACAATGATGGACGTACTGTTTGGTTCACATACTAGGATTGCCAAGGTTTACCATGTTTTCTTTATCAAACTTGCTAAAGGTGAGACCATCAAAATCCAAGCCACACTTTAGCAAACAAATTGAAGAAACCATGTAATACTTTTAATAGTAACTAACATGTGAGACCTAAATTACAGAAAGAGATATCTTACCACTCCCATAGGAGTCAACCAAGCACTTATCTAATATGGTCAAAATAACCTAACCAAAAATGTGGGTATACTAACCAAACAACCCCGTAGTACGTGACTGTGTGAGCTCGTGGGAAGAAGAATGGCTCTGAATAGGACAAGATTGAATGTGTAGGCGTGTAGCTAGCTAAGTTATGGGCTACGGCTCCCCACTAGACTTGCTATATCAATTACTAGGATGTATCACATTCAACCAGAATCCCTTATATTTAGAGACGAAGGGAGTACTTGCTATAACAATGAGAAGAAATTGGGTTATATTTGCAACTGAGTGTAGCCATACGTGAGGAGTGAGGTTATACGTACATGTAATTTAGCAAATGCACCTGAAATACCTCTCCAATAGACTCTAACGATATGTCGGCCCAATCTTTCAGAGATGCTCATAGGGGTAGGGTGTACGTGTGTTATGAGCGTCTGCGTTTGTACTGTGTTTCTCAAAAAAAAAGACTCCATCTAATATGTGATTATGTTTGGAGGAGCTTAAAATTCCGAAAATTTGTTGGTTGTCAGCTTCTAAGAATTTAGAGAAGTTGGCTTTTCAGCTTTTGGTTTCTTCATTTTCTGGATCTTATAATTACATATTCTCAAAATTAGGATGATAATCTAGGGTCTGTTCGGAGGAGCTTAAAATTATGAGAAGTAGTTGATTGGTAACCAGCTTCTGAGGATCTAGAAAAATTGGGTTTTCCAGGTTCTTTCTCCTAGTTCATTTTCTGAATTATACAACTACAGAATCTTAGATCTGGAAGAAAAATTGAACTATCTGAGGGAGATTTTGATTTTGAGAGAAGCTGCAGCTATTAGAAGCTTTCCCAAATAAGCTCCTAGACTATTTGGGGAGCTGTAGATTCTGTGTAAATCTGCAGCTACTAGAAGCTCTCCTAAACATGCCTTATATCCCATCTAATTCACTATCCCAGCTATGTCATTGGCCATCTTTTCCCACCCTTCTCGGTCGGCTATCAATCAACTAAACGGTATGTCTCTCCTCCCCCCCTCCCCGGTGCTTCTCTCTTCTTCTGATCATGCCCCTATTACTAGACTAGCGTCACTTGTTGCCTCCATGTGCTTGCTGCCTCAATGCGCTTATCAACAGAATCCCACCGCATCTCACAACTCTCCCGTTACATCCGCCGGATTTCTCCACTCCCCCACCTTATCTATGGCGATGCCTCTCCATCCATCATGGCACATCCACCCTAGCGCCATTGTATCTTCTTTCATCCTTTGTCCTAGTGCCATGGAGACGTCCATGGTCACTACTGCGGGCAACCTAGGGTAGGGCCCAAACACATCCATTGGGATCAGCATTGACAGGCACACTGACAATGCCATCCATCTCTGTCTTTCACGTGGGATGATGCGGACTGTGAGGGTGCGAGGATCATGGCAAAGAGGTCGACTGCAAGCCAGAGAGCTCGGCAACTACGCTAAGCTTCTCTAGCCCGTTGGATGCAACTCAACAAGCTTGAGGATGCCAGAGGGGGAGGAAGTACAAGAGAATAGGGGGTTTAGGGATTTTGACAATGTTGATCAATTTTAACCAAAATATTTCACATATGTTTACCTACTATTTGGACCCACCGAAAGACATGAAGTATAGGGAGTGAGATATAAAGAGTATGTTAGAGTGCATAGGAAATATGGAGAGCCATATAGACATTTAGAGAGCTAGACTTAGCTCGGTCATCTATTAGAAATGTTCTAAGGGGTTATTTGGTTGTTGGCTAAACATGCCACACCACACGTTTGCCTAAAGTGTGGCAATGTGGCAAAGTTTGGCAATAAATTGATTATCTAATGTGTGGTCCTAAGTACTAATATAGTATTGCATGTCACAATTGTGGAACTCATCCAGACACAATGCCAATAAAATGTAGCACGCACAAGATTTAACGTGAAAATCTTTGGCAATCAACTAAATAGGTCACCGCTCCACACACTCTCATAGTGGACAAACAGGCGATCTAGTGATCCACCATGGCCTATTGAGGCATGATCAGATGAAATGGGTCATACCGTGTTGGTCCACGTGGCATGGCCTAATCTAGGAATGACCTAAGGAGGAGGCATGCCATGCTGTGATGTGCCAGCCTAGGCACGAAATGGCCTACAAACTGGTGGCGGCCATTGGCACGACCAGCCCATGAAATCATATTGGACAGAGTGGGGAAAAAAAGGAGATGTATAGCCTCAACCTGCTCAT